TTACGATCATTTGTCAACAAACGGAAATCCGCGAAGTTCGCGCTCACAAATTCTTTCACAAGATTCTGCAGAGCACAATCATTTTTTTTGATACCTCCCCCCCCCCCCACTCTGGTTCCCCGCCACCCCCTCTGCCACCTGAATTAGGTCGCCAATTTTTGAGAGTATTTCACATGAGTTATAAAAAATTAAGCAAATAATTTCCATGAGCTTGTAAACGATTAGAATCTCCTATAAGGTTTACATTGGTTTCTTCAAAGTTTTGGGAGATTTTGTTTAGGCTAAGCCCAAATTTGAAAACCCCGAAAAAATTTGCTTGCTGGTCCTCCCACGAAATTACTCGATAATGCGGACTTCAAAATCTTTTTCATCGCACTAAAAAAACTTATCATGTCTACTGCTGTCATCGAACTCTAAGGAAAATTGTCTGTAACTACCTAAAGATTATTTTTTAGTGCAAAAAGAACTTCGAGTAACATTTCTGGGACCATGATATGTAGTGAAAAATAATATACCTCTTGCCCAAACAGTGTGCAAGTCATGCTCCGAAGATATGTCGTATTTGAAGGTATTTCAAGCACTTACAGTAAAAAGTCATTTTCGCATTTTTTGCACCCCATACAAATCGTATTTGTAATTTGTGTGTTCTTAATGGGTGGGGGGGGGACAAACCACCCTTGTTTCCAATGGATCAATGAGTAGGTTTTCACTTCGTGGGTATAATGCGATGACTGTCTGCATCATTGTACCTACCGTGACTCATGGGCCATTATCCACCCTCAATACTATATAATCCTTTGACATATTGCAGTTGAAGAGGATAGGTAGCTGATGACACATAGCACAAACTCTGATACGGCTAAGGTGATCTAAAATCGATACAGGGCACCCCGAGTAAAATTTTTTTTATTTAGTAACTTTTTTCGCTTCAATCATGGACAATTAGTTGCAATCTTATAGTCATTTTGTATGAGTGACCTTGGCTCAACCGATTTTCTCGCACAACTCTATGAGCTCTTCGAAATAATCAAGCTTTTCCATATCAGTTTGCACAATACCGTAGAAATTTTTATAGTCAAAAAAAGGCGAGAAAAATCGTAAAAGTGCATTTTTTCTACCCGACAAAGTCATTATTTCGCATTAACCCCGAAGAACGGAAAGGAACTAATTCGAGTGCATAAAAAACTGGTAGAAATCGGCAAAAAAATTGGTATTGCCCAGTTATCTTCAGAAATAAGTTTACTGGTTTACAGTGAAGGAAGATTAACAGGAATCTAGTATCTAATATTGACCAAGGCTGATCGAATCCCCCATATCTCATATCGAATTTCAAATATTTTGTACCAAAATTCTTGAAATTTCTTGGAAATCGCTACGATACAGGCTGATGCAATACGCACAAAAAATGCATATTTGGGCGAAAATGAAGCTCTAATGACACTCGGTTTTCTATATTACAGATTAACGGTTCTTCCCTCCCCCCCCCCTCTCCTTTCCTGTTGAAAAAAATAGGTTGATCGATTATATGATTCTCATGTTTGTAATCGATTCTAAAAGTGCTTGAATGTCTCAATTTTGATTTTTCCACCATATTTCAAAATTGATGGCTTACTATTCATTTTGTAATTGGTTTATTTGTAAAAAGTATTGCTTCGGTCACCTTGGTTCTTTCATCCCAAGTTCTCTGAAAACTTGCGCAAAATGCATAAAATGGATTGGATTCTTGCGGCCCTTTATGGGTCGTTTTGGATGAGGACTAGAGTTTTTCTAGTTCGAAACCATAATAAAAATGTATGTTTTTCGTGTACAAAGCGAAAATCGTGTTCATGTGGCAGTTTTTTTTTCTTCTAGAAGCTATCTAAAGGTTTTTTTGAACTGCTATCAATTTTCGCACTCAAAGCAGCCGGAACCTCGAAGTTTGTCGTTTGATTTCATTCTCGAAAAAATTCATTCAACACAGCGAGGAAAAATTGTGTGTGCCTGGAAAATTTTGCCTCATTCATTAAGCGAAATCTGTCAAAAAACGATGGTCCTAGGTACCTTTCTTGAGTGAAAAACTTTGGGTAAGGCCTAAAGATGAAAATTCCATTCAAAAAAAAAAGAAATGAAAAGATATAAGGACAAGTTGTAATTTTTATTGCAGAATTTCTGTCATAATTCTCTATCAAACTCTCTGATCTAAAACCGCCCACAAACGTGCAAAATTTCCGAGAAGATTGCGACATTCCAGTAATCGCGCGACATTCCGTGAAGTTTGTGAAATCACGCGAATCACGCAAACTACGCAACGCCGTAATTTCCTCTAAAATGAATTTATTCTGAGTCTCAAAAAGGCATTCTTCTCAGTTCATCAAGGCAAACCTTCTGGTGTACAGCACTTCCTCGATATTCGCTTAGTATTTTTCTATTATTCTGCGAACAATGGACTTTTACGTTTGCTTTCGATTATTCAAAAATAAATTTGCATTCACTTGTGTCATTCTGTGCTTTATGTATATCTTGATTTTTTTTCGAACGTTGGTAAAAAGCACTTTTTTGTCAATATAGCACGGATGCAAGTAAGAAATAACATTCTGGGATTTAGAAAGCTAAACGACGAAATCAACCCCATTACCCCTTTGTTTTTGCTTCTGACTGAATATAAAATCTTTCTCCTCTCACCTTCTTTTTGTGATTACGAACATCATTGAAAATGCAAATATTTGGTTACACATTTTTCTTTCGATATTCGATGACATTCGCTGACGTTTATAAGGTCATGTTCAAGTTCACAGCAGTAGATTAGCAAGTCATAAAAAGTGATTACATTCGTTTTTTCCTCATCAGACTGATTGAACTTTGCGAGAACAACGATATCGCTCGGCGTCCACAGCATAAGCAGCAATCTCCGCCTCGAAGGTCATGCATTCCTCTCTTCGAAATTATGGAAGCAGTCATGCCAAGGTCATTCGTTTTTTTTTACTGTCCGGCGAAGATGACTGGTCACGAAAAGCTGCGCACTGCGAACTTGCGCATTTTCAATCGAAATTTCCCCCGCAATAAGATTTCAAGGGAACACGCACTTATGGCTTGAAACTGTCATCATCCACAATCATAGGATTGAACTTTTATGAAAAGTGCACTAAAAGGCATCGTCGATTAAGGTTACTAAGATTTTGATGCTATATGATAGCGGGACCCCTAACTAGGTAATTACCCAATTCCCGCTACAAAAAATGAATTCCGAAGCGAAAAAATTGCTTTAGAAGGTAGAAGCAGCTTAGGTAGCTCCGCCCATCAACATGGGTAGTCTAAAAATAAAAAGTTCAAAATCAGGCTTCATTGTAACTAAATTTTCATGGGTCTACCCTTCATTACGATGATTAGATTTTCGATATTTCTACCTACCTTAAATCTCACTTTCGGGCCTATCATCTGCACTCCATCCAGGCTGAAGGGCGGAGTCAGCTGGTCCACTTCTACCTTCTGGAGCGATTTTCTAGCTTGGGAATTCATCTTTAGCAGCGGGACTTGGGCAAGTACCTAATCAGAAGATCCGCTTTCACACAGAGAAATTACACTATCCTTAGTGGACAGTATTCTTGGTGGACGGCGCTCAAGCAAACTGTGATATTATCGGCGGCTGTCACTGGCGACTTTACAAGGGGAGGTGGGAACATAAGGGATCAAACGTGAATTATAAAATTGTTGAGCCTACTTGTCTTCACTTGCAACTAATCACAATAATTTTTGAATTTGAAATGAAACTTAAAACAATCTTGTGCAAACTTTACGTCACTAAATCACCTATGGAATGTTATGAAAATTATGTCATTTCTTATGCCACCGCTAGCAGTCTGAACTTAAACAAGGGCATGTAAGGACATCGTGCAATAGAACAAAGCGGGACCTATAAGTAACCTTTAGATTTCGATCCATGTTTCACATAGAATATGGGGGCCAGGATGGAAAAACATGTTGAATTCAATACAGACACTTCCCTCAAAGTAATACTACCATTTGCTTTATTCTAAGCAATTACATTTGCAGTCATTCAAATAAACCCTGAATTTTCGTGGATAAAAATCCAGAAAGAAAGGAGAAATCAGTGACAACTGCCTCTTTTTCTTAGTTATATACCACAAATCTTCAGAAGGCACAATAGTGATTTTTCGAAAACAAAAACCATCATTTTAATTGAAAAAAAAAGAGTAAATCTTGTTTCTTCAATCTATTAATCTATCAATCCCATGGTGAGCAAATCTATAGAATTTTTTCGTATTTCTTTCTCAAAAAATGGAACATCTCATAAATGCCCGCTCTCTTTGCAACGGTTTCTTTTTGTATATATTCTTACAAATAAGTTACCGAAAACTCGCCACAAAATGATTTAGGCGCTTGTCATCAGCTAAAAAAGAGGTGTGGGAAACATGGAAATGAACCATCAACTGCGTTCACTTTAGATGACAAATTGCTCAAATAAATTGTTCTAACCCCCCCCCCCCCCCCGTCTACCTTGAAATCTTAATCATTTGGAAAAAAGTTAACAATTTTTTTCATTTGCTCCAATCATCACTGAGTCGCTCAGAAGGATGAAAAATGTTTTTATATGCTTAACTACTTCGTACTTTCCAGTCAAAAAAATAAACGTTTCCAGCATGAATCTTCTCTACTAATTTCTTGCACTCAAGCTGACAGTTATATCATTGAAAAAAAGCTACTTCAAAACTTTTACTTACGTCGTTTGAATAGGGAAGACCAGTCAAGAGAGTTGCACTCAACTCTTTACCTTTCAAAATTTCTTTTCAATTCTTGCCCACAAGGTTGAGGCGTTTTTACTAGTACCACGCGACCTTCGAAAATTTTTCCCATCGCTTTTCTTTCTTGCTTGGTGAAAAAAAAAACTCTATGTGTCATGTGTGAGGCATTTTGCCACTATTCCTAGCAATTCTTCTATTCCATTGTGCCGTTTGATTGCTGGGTTTAGAAATGTGGAAATCTTGTGAAATTTTCCAGTGAAAATGCACTTGATTACACATTGTACTGTTACCGGTATAAAAACTGACATTTCTGTTGCGCATATACCACATCTCGTCACTGTCGAACTGGATCCCGATGGGGATTGTGACGGTAAACTGGTTAGGGCTCTGGCAGTAGCCAGTTGCGCTCAATATGACCGGGGATGTCGAGAGAGATAGCGGTTGAGGGATGAGAGTGATTGCAGGGGATGATAAGATGGTCCCGAATCACTTATCATGCGGTGGTGTGTTTGAGGACAAATGGTTTAGTGGGTATGGGAGATTATGCAAATTTGGGGAGACGGGACAGGGGAGGGGGGGGGAGGGCTTGAATTGGGTAGCTGCCAAAATTATCAATCTGTCTTGTAGCCAGGGTAATCTAAATTGTCAAAATTGTTACTTACAAAACAGCCTATACTACGCTTTTGAGATGCAATTTGAGATTTTTACTCTTTTAACTAGTGGACCAATGATCTCAAAGGTGTTAGTTGCAGGCGCGCTCGCTTCGGTACCCGTACGATTTCCCGCTATCTGATGATTTTTGAATGCACCTTTATATATTAGCTAAGATATATGCTCATTGATCCAATCCTATCGCAAAATTTTTGAAAGTTGCTTTCATGGGTTACAAAAATGCATTTGTCTTGTTTATACTTGTGAATGATTAAAATAATTTTGAAAAATTTTTGAAAACTCAATTCAACCATGTAAGAAAGTTTTTTCGGAGCGTGGCGACGGCCTTCTTCTATATTTTTGGGATCATAGACCCTCAAAAATCTTGCGAAGCATCCCAATAAATTGTTCGAAGTGGGCTAACGCCACACATCATTCGGATTTTTGTTCTCTCCCCTCCCCCCGAAAAGAAATCCTGGAACGTCACTGGTATCAGGTACAACAACATGATATTTTCCTTTTTTCTAATATAAGTCAATGCCATTTTTTTTCAAACTGCATTTTTTTATAATTTTTGAAGTTCGTACCACTTAATGTATATCAGTTAGTACGTACATCATTCAACACATTTCACGACCTACTCCTTTTAATCAACTTTATTTTGTTGCTAATTTGATCTTGTTTCGAATAAAATCCTCAGAATAGACAATAAAAAATAATATTTATCATATTCAACATGAAACTCAAATCAAAATAATTTTCAAAAATTTGAAGTAAAATTTTTCTATTATTCTGGTGCAAGACTCGTGGGCAAACCAATAATTTTTCCCAAAAAGATATGCAAAAAAATTCTGTTTCATTCACTGTACTACAAATATGATGAGTTTGGGGAGAGATGGTTGTTAGGAATGAACTTAGTATGAGCTATGAGTGAGCTGACGTGACTTCCTTAAAAAGCATTCTGTTGCTTTTTTCTCATTTTACTATCCTAAATCACACCCTTGATAGTCTTCTGCGTTTTTCTTAAAGATCATGTTTAATTCTCCTGCGTTTCCCTGCGAGAATATTTCTAGCGCAAAATTTATGTCTCTCACAAGAGGTCATGTTGATTTCGCATTGTAGTTGAAAAGAATTTACAGCTCAAAAGGTTATCTTTGCCATTTCTACTTCTTTCACTCCATCTGAAATCAACGAATTATAAACCTAAAGCTGTAAAGCATAGTTGCGCCTTTTGTTACATAGGCCTTGAACTCAATTTTTGCAGAAGTTGTAATTCCTTCCAGTTTTGAAATTTAGCTAATTAATTCAAAAAATGACTTTTCTTTCGATGTTTTAATTAGGACGGCACAAGATGAAAAGTAACTTTTATAACGTATTCTGTTTCGAGATTTTTGACGCTTAGAATGCTAGAAGTCCCAACTTATGTATGTATTCTATTTTAGTTAAGGTCGATTCGTTTGTGGTTTTCAAGCCTAATCTTCTAGAAAAGAGAGGAGGATCGTGCTGATCTGATGTTTCTGGAAAAGCTCATGATCGAGCACTACTCGACGTTTCAGTTTTATTATGAATGGTTACAAAGATTTTGTCAGCTTGATGCGCAAGTCTTGCACCAAAAACTATATTAAATTCGATTTAGAGATGCATAACCAGACTATTCAATTGGCAATATGTAATTCGAATATGAAAAAGAAACTCATAACTATTCGTAGAGACCTCCGATCACTAAAAAATTGTCTTGGTCGAAAGGGGTAGATTATGAAACATTGATCAAAAGTGAATCAAAGTTTCAGTAAACGTTTTAAACATTTAACGGCCAAACTTCTAAAGATCAATTTTTAGGTATTTATTGGTCAGCTTAAATCTAAATCGAGCTCTTTCGGAAAGTGCAGGGTATTCTCTCTCAATTATGTATTAAATCAGAAGATCTCGTTGAAGATGAGGAATGTTGAAAATTTTGTTGTAAAAATCTCGCTTTAAAGTAATATAATCCAAAGGTTTTCTCAGATATTCAAAACAAATTCTTCATATTTACTGATGATTATAGCTAATCCAGTTGTTTCCTGCTTATACCTTGCATCAAAAGCCTAAGACAAAGTTTCCTGTCCACTTGCTACTTCTGGATTCTTTCCAACAACATTTTAAATAACCAGTAAATGCAACTCTCAATCATGCATCGATGCATAGCATAGCATTAATCTTTTCCAAACATCATGACCATAATTGCAAGCTCGTCCTTCGCAATGATCTATTACTATGACAGTCCTGTTTGTATGGTGAAATTGCTCGAGCTTCTTTCGGGAATACACACACATACAACGGCGCCATCGGACCAGTTTTGGGTGAACGTTTAACGACCTTTGTGACATCAGAATTATGGTTTCCCCCCGATAGTTTGGAGAGGTAACTTTGCCATGAAATCAATGCTGTGCAGCGTAGAGAGTTGAAGAAGTTGAGATTTACATATTTCGTAGAAAATTCAATGAACTTCTGGTGTAAGGGCAGCTTGAATTCGAGTATTTTCTTATTAAACTGATTGGAGTGCTTCAAACAAGCACATGCCTAGATGGCAACTCATAAAATTCATTTCTGGCGAAGAATTCAACTCCAAACTCTCGCCCGATACCGTACTCTTACCAAACAGACCATACAGTATTCCCAAGCTCGATGAGATTTTACTGATTTTTGGCCCCATTAGGTCTCATATATGTCTTTTCATATGTGTCTTGATGGCAATCAGTGTAAGTAGCCTACGACACCTTCCCCGCCCCGAAGTGTATGTGTGCAAAGTTTCGTCCGGATAGGTTCAGAAATGGAATTTTCCATTTGGAAAATATATAATACAGACAGACAGATACAAACAGACATACAGCTTTGTATATATATAAAAAGAGAATTACATATGTTACTTCTTACTCCGTTTCGTTCCTTCCCTTAGATGGCGTTTGTATTGATTTCTAAGTCTTCTTCGGAACTCCTCAGTAAGGAAGGAAAACTTAGAACCAAATAAAAAAGTTAAAATTTAGAAATTTTTGTATCATGGATTGTTGAAAGCCAACTCGTCTTGTTCTTCTGCTGCTTCACATCATTCTTAGCATGGTCCTTATCATCGTGATATCACATTCGAAATCGCTTCTCTCTTTAGTACTTTGGTTGAAGCGGTAAAGTTTATTATAATCTATCCTACATATGTGTGGTCACATCATCGAGGAATCTATGTCGTCACTTTTACGCTTTTAGACAGTATGATGATTAGCTTATGGTAAATCTAAAAATCACGACTTCTTAAATTTCCTCTTATGACCGCAAAATCAGCTTCCCTTAGGACAAAAAATGTGAGATTTTATTGTTGAAAACTGAGAAGATTACGACGACAGTGAGACGAAGCTATTATGTTGTTTCAAAAGTAAACTCCTTTTTTGACTGATTTGAGCTGTTTCTTTAGTTTACTTAACAGACTACGGTAGTATTGGGAGCGAAGAAGTTCTACAAATGACCACCAAAGATGCGCCTTAGTTGTAATCCAGGTAAAGTTCAGAGCAAAATAAAAAAATTTTATTTACTAAAATTGTATTGCGGAAAAATTCTCAAGGACCTTTAACTTTGTCATCACACGGGACAAATGGTAGCACCCAAATATGCCTTAATTGGATTTTTTTTCGTGCATAGAAAGCGAGAAAAAAGATAGTCCAAAAATGACAAACTCCTCCCCATCCCCTCCAACATGTCATTGTTAAGCATAACCCTGAAATTATGCTCTGCATGCCTGATAATCGAAGAATACCATGTTTAATTGAAGAACCGAAAAAAGTGAGATTTTGGCATTTTCTGCCATTTTAACTCCTCAAATTTGGGCCCGGAAAAAATCACCAGGTACATTTTTAGGTACTACTATATGTGTGCTGTATATAGACCAAGTTGGAGGTCTGTAGGAATTTTCTGGATGGAGATCCGATTTTTTAGTTAGTTCAAAAGTTCTGATTTTTGGCTCCAAAATGTAACTGGACTGGAATTAGCGGATCTTTGGTGGTCATTCTGTAGAGCTTGCTTGCTCTAGCGAGTGTACTCTATTTCGTTCTGCTAGGAAAAGAAAAACAGCTAATTCACTTTAACAAGGTGCTTACTTCTGGAACAGTTCAATAATTTTTACGCCATTTTTATCTATTCGTGTGGGAGCGTTGTTTATCTGGCTATTTTTGCGCCTGGCTACTTTTGAAGCTCTTAGAAAAGACCAATTCTCCATTTTCTTGAACGATACAATTCCACACTAGTGCTACTCAAATTCGTATTTGGAGTCAAAAAAAACACTAGCTAGTACCTCCGCATCTCAAAACATCCTATTCAGCTTGCAAACTCTAAAAATTAACCCTTTCGAAAAATTTTGTCCTAACAACTCGCTGTGCCTAATGACTCTAGGTCACTCTTTGTACGTTCCCGTTAGGGTGCTATAACTTTTGTACTCATCGTAACTGTTATGGACTTTGACAGTAATTGTCATTGGGTCAATTGAGTGCGTCGCTGCACTTCATTGACCTCGAAGAAGTTGATGTGGAGACTCAACTCATCCACTCATCGTCGTTTGTAGGGGTACAAATCGAAGAGGGTAAGACTTGGGTAAACGAATTTGTAGGTACTCCTCATTGCTTGCTAGATTTTGAATTGATTATTGAAAAAAATCGTCACCAATTAATCATCCAGTATTTACTAAGAAAAAATTTTGAT